AATGGTTGCAAAGATGGCATAGAGCGCTAGTGTGCTGCTCGCCTTGGTGAATGTTTGGAAAATAACAGCCCCTGCTTTGCCTCCTGGTTAGTGAAGGCTGAGACAGCAAGAAGGAAACCCTTCTGAAAGCGAGAGTTGCTGCAGATATAGGGTCTATTTTACTGTTTTGCTATTTGAGGGCAGGTCTGAGCCAGAAGGTACATTTGGTCCAAATGGCTCTGTGTGTGAGTGGTAAGGTGAGGACAAGAATCTGGGTCCTGACACCCAGTAGAACATTCCTGCTGCCCTAAGGTCACCTCTCAGCCTGAAAACCACAGGCCATATCACTTTACCCAGACTCTCTATGGGGACTCTGCCAGGACCTCTCTTCTCTCCTTGAAACAAGGAGGTCGAGCCCAGGAGATCCTGAGATTCCTTTACTGAGCCTTTGAACCCAGCGTGAGGGCAGGCCAGAACTGCACTCGGGGCCCCTCACCTGGGTAAAGCATCCCTGGAAGAAAAGGCGTGCAGGGATGGGAAGCAAGTGCCAGGACAGCAAAACAGCTATGCCTGAGCCAGGGTTCAAGCCTGCCCTAGGTTGCCAGCCTGGAGCAGAATATCCACTTCCCCCCCTGGGATAGATTTCCCAGAACCTTTGGGAAGCAGGAAGATCATTTACTCTAGTTGTTAGAGCAGAGGTTTTGGAGTCCAACAGATAGAGGTTAAAATCCCCATGTCCAGGAACACCCGGGTGGCTCAGTCGGTTGAGCGTCCAACTTCAGCTCAGGTCATGATCTCACAGTTCGTGAGTTTGAGCCCTGCATCAGGCTTGCTGCTGTCAGCGAAGAGCCCGCTTAGGATCCTCTGGCTCCTTGTCTCTCTGGCCCTCCCCCACTCATGCTTTCTCACTCAAAAATAAAAAAACAAAACAAAACATGAAAATCCCTGTGTCCACAAGCCAGTATTTCAGTCTTGGTTTCTTTCTGAAACAGGGAAATGATAACATCCACTGCATAAGATAGCTGGAAGGGTTCAATGAGGTAGAAAGTATGTCCCGTGCTGGGTTAGCACATTGCAGCGAAATGGCAGGTGTCTTCGCTCAGGGAACAATTATGAGCACCTGGTGGATGCTGGGCTCTATCCTGAGCTTTAGGTAGTTGATAGGAACAAAACCCTCAGGAAGCTTATAACCCAGTGTGAAGAGACAGATAAGTAAGCGACCACCTTGAGACAGTGTAAGACACATTGAAATGGGGGAAGCACAGGATGTTATGGGAACTGGGCAGGAAATGTGTGTGTGTGTGTGTGTGTGTGTGTGTGTGTGTGTGTACGCATGTGTAGGCCTTCTGGAGGAGGTACTATTTTTACTGAAACGTGAATAGGAAATTAGCCAGGTTTGGGGTAGGGACTGTGCAGGAAGAATGTTCCAAGCAGGGGAGAAATCACCTGCTAAGTGTTAAGTTCTTGGAGTGGGCAAGAACTTGCAGGGACAGGCAGTACTAAGGTAAGAAAACGTGGCCTGACCCTGAGGTTTTCACAAGCCAGTGCAGAGGCTGTTTCCCCTGGACTGTGGGACACAGAGGTGAGAGGATATAAGGCAAGGATACTTCTCACCTCTCAGAGCAATGCTGCCTGGGAGAATTCAGCCTCCAATTGTTTTTCCTTCTCCCATGTTCCCTACCCATTTCCTCCTGCCCCATTATCCTGGGGGTCACCAGGTCTGGTGTGACTGCTTTTGTCCACTGTGGCTCCCATCCCCATTCAGTGTGTGCTGTGCCTTGAGCACTATGGTGGTCAGGAAGACCCCGGCTCTGACCCTCCTCTGCCCCAGAAGCAAGACTCAGGGCCATTCCCTGGAGGAGAGGGGAAGTTCCTAATAAGGTAAGGTGGTGGGCAGTGGGGAGGGCACAGCTTACGGCATGGGGTTCCAGAACACTCGAGGTCCATGAGCAGCCATTTGAGGGCTGGATTGGGGGTATCGGAGTGGGGCCATCTCTCTGGGTCCCATCTCCTGACCTCCCCCCTCAGTCTCCTTTCTGCAGGACCTAAGATCCTGCTTTGCCTTGGGAAAGGACTTTGACACATTTTCACAATCAAGTTGAGAGAAGTCTCCAGAGGGGAAAAAGGATAAACAAGCTTAAAAAATGCAAAAGGAAATGTATTCTTTATTTATTTTCAAAGTCGGGGGAGGCCACAGCCAGCTCATTTGAGTGAAAGTTTCCAGCCACTCTGACATGAGGTCACAGAGACTTCAGGGAGCCAGGACGTTTGGGATGGGGCAGCTGGAGTGTCTTCAGGCCAGATTCAGAATCAATTCAGCTAACAGGGCAACCGTCAGCCTGCCAGGCACTGTGCTCTGCACTGCAGGGGTGAACATGCAAAGACCTAAATCCTCCCTCCAGCTGAGAGTCCGGTAGAGGAGCTAGAACAAAGATAGCAAGGACTGGTGGACAAGGAGAGAGTGTGACAAATGTCATAACAAAAAAGTTCAAATAAGCACCAAAGGGACAGGAGGGGGATTCATTTCTGGTGTGTGTGGGTGGGGTACTCATTGAGGAAAGCTTTCAAAGCTTTCAAGGACTAGCTGAGTTAGACTTTGAAGCCCAGCTAGGATTTTAATGGGCATAGATCAAGCAGAAGGCTTTCTGGGTAGAGCAGATAATGTGAGCAAAGGTACAAGGTGGGAAATTCTTCTTTGAGAAATAGGGATGTTTGGGGCGCCTTGGTGGCTCAGTCGGTTAAGCATCCGACTTCAGCTCAGGTCATGATCTAACGGTTCGTGAGTTCAAGCCCCACGTTGGGATCTGTGCTGACAGCTCAAAGTCTGGAGCCTGCTGTGGATTCTGTGTCTCCCTCTCTCTTGCCCCTCCCCCACTCGTGCTCGCTCTCTTTCTCTCTCTCAAAAATAAATAAACATTAAAAAATTAAAAAACAAGAAATAGGGATGCTCGATTTTCTTAAACATGTATTTATCTATTTATGTGTTTATTCATTCATGTAAAACTGCTTTATTGAGATATAAGTCACATACTATACCATTTGCCCATTTAAAGTGTACAATTTAGGGGCACCTGGGTGGCTCAGTCAGTTGAGCATCTAACTCTTAATTTCCTTTTTTAAAGTTTATTTATTTAATTTGGGAGAGAGAGAGAGCACAAGCAGGGGAGGGGCAGAGAGAGAAGGAGAAGAGAGAATCCCAAGCAGGGTCTGCACTGTCATTGTGGAGCCCAATGTGGGGCTTGAACTTATGAACCTCGAGATCATGACCTGAGCCAAAACCAAGAGTCAGACACTCAACCACCTGGGCCACCCAGGTACCACCTGACTCTTGATTTTGGCTAAGGTCGTGATCCCAGGGCTGTGAGATTGAGTCCCACATCAGGCTCCCTGTTGAGCATGGAGCCTGCCTAAGATAATGTCTCTGTGTCTCTCTCCCTCTGCCCTTACCTGCCTCTCTCTAAAATAATAAATAAATAAATAGACAAACAAATAAAATAAAGTGTACAATTTACAAAGCTGTGCAGCTAATACCACTATCAATTTTAGAAAATTGTCATCACTCCAAAATGAAGTTCCATACCCATTAGCAGTCACTCCCCATTTCCCCAGTCCTGAGCAACTGCTAAACTACTTTCTCTTTCTATGGATTTGCCTATTCAGGATATTTCATATAAATGGGATCATATAATACACGGTCTTTGGTGACTGATTCTGTCACTTAACATCATGTTTTCAAAGTTCATCTATGCTGAGGTATCAGTATTTCATTCCTTTGTACTCTTTCTCTGCCTTCATTCCTTTTTATGACTGAATAGTATTCCACTATATGGATATACTGGGTTCATCAGTTGATGGGACGTTTGTCTTGTTTCCATTGTGGGACTGTTATGAATTTGATGCTTTTGTGTGGATGTATGTTTTCAGGACATTCCACTTTGAAATTTTTTTTTAATGTTTATTTCTTTTTGAGAGAGAGAGACATAGAGTGCGAGCAGGGAGGAGCAGAGAGAGAGAGGGAGACACAGAATCTGAGGCAGGCTCCAGGTTCTGAGCTGTCTGCACAGAGCCTGACACAGGGCTCGAACTCACAAACCTTGAAATCATGACCTGAGCTGAAGTCTGATGCTTAACTGACTGAGCCACCCAGGCACCCCCAGGACATTCCACTTTGAATGAAGTCTAGGACAGTCATGGTGGGGAGCGGGAGGGGAGAGGGTGAAGTGGAGAGACCTGCTCACCCATGTTCAGGCTCTGAGCAGTTGGGTGGGAGTGAGATGGGTAGGCTCAGAAGGGTAGGCTTGTGTCTGGCCTCCCTGAGAGCCTGTGGTGTATGAGGCCAGGGCAGGGCCATCCCCCCACCAACGCATACCCACATGGTTGTGTCACATCTGGCAGCTGTTTGCTACACTGGAAATAGCCTGGGCAGCTGGTATTTTCCCGGGAAGTCAGGTGCATTTTTTTCCAGTGTCCTGCCGAGGGCCAAAATTAGTTAAACCCATAGAGAAGTGTGAGCTACATGGTTAGGCCAGAGGAGGGGAGTTTGTCAACAGGAAGCTGGCCAGCCAGGGGAAAGAGGTGGTCAGGAAGACAAAGGTTAATAAGCCGTGTGTAAAGCCAGGCTAAGCTGCTAGGCTCCCACCCCTATGGTCCTCACACAGAGGCAGTGGTTTTGTTTACAGGAAATGCTTTGAATTTCTCACTGGCCCCATTTAACAGATCAGGAAACAGAGGCACTGCATTGAAGGATCTGCCATTCAGAGACAAAAAGGGGACTAAAAGCTAAGGTCTCTGGTTCTGCTGTGAGCAGCAGATTTCATAAAACCCAGCCCTTGCCCTCAGTGCTATGTCTGTCTTTGAGTTCACAGGAGAAGACAGGACACAAAAACAAGAAAGAATTTTAGTCTCCTAAAAAAGAACACCAAACCCCACCCCAATCCTAAAGCAAAAACACAAAACAGGGCTTTAATTACCATCTTTTCATCCTTTCCTTTTTTACCTTTTTTTTTGTTGTTGTTCTCCAGCCAGAAAACATTATGTTGTTAGACAAGAATATTCCCATTCCACACATCAAGCTGATTGACTTTGGCCTGGCTCATGAAATAGAAGATGGAGTTGAATTTAAGAATATTTTTGGGACGCCAGAATTTGTTGGTAAGTTTTAGGCCTATTTCTCTCCCAGCTAAGTAGGCATCTGGGACCAAAAGGTAGAGAAATTCTGGGAACAAACCCTGTGTCTGTTTGAGAGTCTGGGCTGAGAGATGGTGCCTTGGAGACTCCCCCTTGGAAACCTAATGGGTGGGGAAGAAAATGTCCTGCAAGTCTTCTGGGTAAGGGTCCAGGTGCTGGCCTTGAGCACCCAGTGGGGCAGGAGGAGGCCCGGTGGGGCTAGAGGCCTTGGCAGAGTCAAACCCTCCCGGAGCTGGCCCCACCTCCTGCTCTTAGATGAATTTATTGTGAAGATTTAAAATTTCCTCACCCTCTGGCATTCCCATAAACTCAAGTTTCTCTGAAGTAGCTTTTGACTTCCTGAAAAGGAGAAGGGAAATCATCTGCTAAATGCCAGATCCACCCACTCACCTCTCCTGTGTGCCTGGCCTTTATTCTTGCACAGGGGGCCCTGCTTCACAAGAGCCTTGGCAGCTCCCCCATCCCTCCGTTTCTATCAGCCTTGGCTCAGGCCCCAGAAGCCCCCTCGTGGGACTGGGGCTGCAGGCTGAGGGTCCTAGAGAGACAGCCTTACAGAAGGGAGAGGAATGAGAATTGAGGACCACTGTCTCTCTGCTTTGGGAGTTGAAGTGGTCTTGGAAATGGAAGGAGGTCAGGGTCTCTCCGAAATCTGGGGAAAACTTCTGACATAAATAAAATAAGGAAAACAGAATGTGTCAGATCATCCATCCTGATGGATTTTCAGGTCACACACGCCAGCCCCACAGCCACTATGGAATGGTGCTATTAAGGCTCCACAGACCCCAGGGTAGGGGAACTTTGCTGTGTGCCAGGCACTATGCCGGTGCTCTGCAGACATCACCTCAGCTAATCTTCAAACAACCTCATGAAGCAGATTTAATTATTTTCTCTATCGGATGCTTTGTTCAAGGCAAAACAACCAGTAGGTGGTAGAGCTAACATTCAAATACAGATACATGCAACATCAAAGCCTGTGCCCTCTTGGTTACATGGGGTTGTCTCTCTAGAAAGACCTTGTCCCGAGGAGGCTTACAATTTAGTTGTGGAAACATCAAACGACCGAGTGTGAGTGGTAGAAGGATCTTTTTAGGTCATCTGGGCTAGTTCAACAAATGTAGGATTGGAAGTCTGGGGGATTTTAGTGAAGGTCAACCAATGGCTATTCTTCACCTAATATCTATGACAGATATTAGGTGAGGTACTGAGGACACAGTGGCGGCAGGGAGCCACACTCAGAATGATTCATGCAAGGTCACACAATGAGCTGGTGGCAGAAGCAACTTGAACCAAGGGCACAAGACATCTATTCTTGAACTTTGTCCAAGATGGCAGTTGCTGCCCACCATTCACATATGTGGTGAAATGCATATATTTATTCACTTAAGTTCAGACCAGATGCTAACAGTAAATGGTTCAACTAGACATTCAGGGCAATAGTGGAAGAGGTGTCACAAGACAGGATGTGATTAATTATAAAGTGAATGATAGAGACCTCTCTGAAGACTTCTCAAACAAGATATTCACTCTGGCAAAGTCAATGGGATCAGTCAAGCCCTTGAGTCAATGAGAGACAAAGGGCTGGTGTTGTGGGTTGGAGAAGTGTGAGGAGGGGTAGGGAAAGAGGCAGGGTAGAAGAGGAGTATACATCCCAGTCTCAGTCGTTCATAGCAGTGGGGAGGGCCAGAATTAGTACATTTATCCAGGACAATTCCCTGTCCACTATGGATGAAACAGAGAGTTCCTATCAGAATGGCCATGTGAGTGAGACATTGATGGCTAGGGCCAGACTATGGAGGGTTCTTTCCAGTGATACAGTGTTCAATGTCTAACAACTGGGTCTCCAAAACAAAACCAAACCCAACCCTAATTTATAGCATTTGCCAATTTTAAGCTACCAACTTGTCACTGAATTCAGAGTTGGGAAGAGATACACACAGTTGACCCTTGTGAGCCAGTATGACCCAGCTCTAGCCTAGAACTGGTTTTGTTTGCACCTTACAGATATACAGGGTGACTTCTCTAGGCCTCTGCCCAAATTATGATAACTTTCTTTATCCAGGACTCCTGAGAAACAGGTTATAATTACTTGTCCTACTCCCACCATTACTCTGAAACTTCAACCTGAGACACAGTATTGAGAAGTTACCATCAGCTTCTGGGAGCATGGTGGACCTGGTCTTCCAAAAGCCCTCTGGCAACAAAACTTGATTCTTGAGAAAAATATTCTTTCTAATGAAATTCTGGACTCATGGGAAATAAGAGAAATCTTTAAGGGTAGTAACTCTTCCCGCATCACCTGCCCCACCTCCAAAGCCAGTGAAATATGAACTTAGAGCTGGAGCTGTGAGCAGCAAGAAAATTCAAGAGGAGGTCCTCTCCCAAAGGCAAGTGTATGTATCAGCATTTCAATCAGAGACTAGCAAGACTTAGACATCCAAGGACATAAGATATTTAAATGATCACACGTTGACTGTAAAATCAAGGGAATGTATATAGAAACAAAAGAATCATAAGAATGAGCAAGCAACAAGAGACTGTCAAAAATGACCAGGCAAATGCTAAAAAGAACCAGGAAGAAGTTTAAGAAATTCTATACTTCTAGAAATTTAAAATTTAGTGAATGAGTTAAACAGCAGATTACACACAGCTGAAGAGAGAATTAAAGAATTGAAAGGCAGAGCTGAATAAAATTAGCCAAAATACCACAGAAAGATCAAGATACAGGAATATGAAATAGAGGACAAGTGTGAGAGGGTGAAAACAGAAAATCTAACACAGGTCTGTTTGGAGTCCCAGAGGAGGGAATAGAGACAACAGAGGATCAACATTTGAAGAAAATGGCTGAGAATTTTCAGAACTGTTGTGAAAACATGCATCTCCAGATACAGAAAGGACAATGTATATCAAACAGAAATAAATAAATAAATAAATCCATTATAGTTACACTGTAGTTAACACTATAGTTAAACTACGGGGTACCAAAGACAAAGAGATCATGAAAGTGGCCAGGAAGAAAAGACAGATAATAAATAAATAAATAAATAAATAAATAAATAAATAAATAAATAAAAATTTGACAGTGTACTTGTTAAAACAACAGTAGAAGCCAATGTCCAATAGAATATTATCTTTCAAGAACTAAGGAAAAATTAAAAAACAATGATTAGGGAGCATCTCTCTACTTGCTAGATGGGATGCTGTCCAGTTCATGAATCACTTAATAAAGCCAATTACAATCCTCAAAAAAAAAAAAAACCCAAAACACTCTTAACTCTACACCCAGCAAAAGTTATATTTCAAGAATGAGGATAAGTGATTCAGGCAAAACATAGCAAAATCCAAAAATTCAAAAAAGAACAATACAAACCATAAAACAATTAAGCCACCAACAAACCTTTATTACTAGAGCTTCTAAAGATGTGCTTGTGAACTAAATGTTCTCTGAAGGAAGACCTCACTGTGTGAAGTAATAGAGCAAAGAAATAAGTAAACATTCGGCAAATATAGCCATTTTCTGTTTAAAATGATGATGGTGGTGGTGATGATGATGATGATGATGACAGTGATGGACGGTCATGGATGTTTTAATTGCAGGGTTAAAAAACAGAACTAAAAATTGAGGAAAATAATGTTAGATAGGAAGGAGTTCTTGAAATGAGTGTTCTAAGGCTCTTGTATTATTAGAGGAGAGTCAAAAGAGTGCTTATGTTAGAATTTGTTAGATAGCCATCCTAAAGTCTCAAGGGTGGCCATTACAAAAATAAGTAGGAAAGGAAAACAGTAAGAGAAGTAATAAAATAAAAAACACCAAGAAAGAAGAAGAAAAGCACAGAAGAAAATAGACAAGCAAATCCACATAGAGAACAGAAGTGAGTGTATATGTGTATCAAACAGATAAGCCTGGAAAGTGAGTTGTGCTTCTCAAACTCTCTATGGTTAAAGACTTAAAATTTTTTTTTCTTCAATCTGTCCTGGACTGCTTCTTCATTAAAGACACAAGAAAAATAAATCCCTAGAATAATCATCACAATTTGAATGTCATGGCAATGACATATTGCTGTACGAGTTTCTAAAAGCTTACTCCATTTCTGGACCTATTGTGTCTGGACCAGTGACTCTTTGTCTTCAGACCACACTTTGAATCACTGTGCTAGAGAATGTCTTTCATGTTTGTGAGGAGACTTGTGCCAAAAAGTTCATAGCAATGTTCTGATAAGAATAGAAGTGGAAACCATCCAAATGATCACTGAGAGGACAATGACTGAAAGATGATACATATTAACACAGTGGACTATTACATAGCAGTGAAAATGAAAGACCATGTATGAACATTCAGTGAACACTAGAAGCATAATGTTAGAGGGTGGGGGGGATCAAGTGACTACATTATCTCTGGGATGACATCTTTTTAATGAAGCTAAAAAATAAGCAAAACCAGAAAAGTGGTTCCTTGTGTCTCTAATTAGAGAGGGGGAGGGGGATGGTGGTCACATGCTACAGATGCAGTAGTTTTAACATTGTTCTAGATGCACCAGTGTAGCCTTTCCCACCCTCTCCCTTTTTCCATTATGATTAAACAGGCTCAGGCCTTCTCCCTTCTCTAGCTATTCCCCTCTTTTTCTCCTCAGTTTCATGACCAAGCTTTTTTTGTAGCATTGTCTACACCCTTATCTCTACTTCCCACAGTCAGGGCACCTCTGGACACCACACACTTTCTAAGTGTTTGCCTGCTTGATCTTTGGGTGGCATTTGGTCCTCTTCTGTCCTGGGTAGACTGTTCTTTCCTAGACTCTGCACCCACTCTTGGTCACCACAGCATCCACACAGCTCCCGTTTCCACCTGTACGATGACTCCAGATTTGATGGCTCCAAGTCACTCTCCCATACCCGGGGCATCTTTGCCTGGATGCCCCTCGGGCACCTCAGGTTCCTCATCTCATTGGCCCCAGATTGTTGTCATTCTTCTCAGGGAAGAGGTGTCCCTCTTTCAGACCAGATTCAGGAACGTGGATTCCCTCTCTGCCTTCTTTTCTTCGTTATGACCTTCCAGCGCTGACCTGACTGTTTTCCACCAGAGACTTCTAAAGCAAGCCTTGTTGTCAGGCCCCATTTCCCCTTCTGGCATCTTCCTTACCCCACCCTCCTCTTCCTCTTCCAGGCATCCCTCTGTCCTTTCCTTCTTCCTCACTATTAAGGCCTCTTTGTAAAATATTTCTACCAGGATAACAGGCAACTTCATTTCTCAAAATTCTTAGACGCAGATTATCTCCATCTGTTGATTTTTCCTTAGTGAGGATTCAGGAGGGAGACATTTGTCACCAAACTCCCTAAAATTCCCTATCACCGTCTCTTCTCGTTTTCATACTCCTGCTGATTCTTCAATATGGCTTCTTTCAGCTCCAGAAATTGTGAACTACGAGCCCCTGGGCCTGGAGGCTGACATGTGGTAAGTTGTATAGACAACCCAGGTGACCTTGGGGTCCTTTCAAGGGCAGAAGACCTCAGACTCTGACTCTGGCTGACATCATCCTGCTTGACCATGAAAACCCCTTACTCCACACGTTCAGAGCCTCTGGCTGTTCCCGGTGTGCTGGACCTGTGGCCCAGAGAAGCTGGAGGCAGCCAGGCCTGGACCTGAGGCCTGTTAGAACACAGCCGAGGCAGAGACAAGGGGAGAGACTCACCCTGGAGGCCTGCCACAGCTATGATAAAGAAATAGTAACAATAGCTTATTTAGTTAATCAACCAAGTGATCACTGAGAGCCTTGTAGGCTCTAAGAGCTGTGTTGGGCCTGAGGATACCGTAGTGATTGATTTTCTGCACAGACAGGACTCATTTCATTTGAACAGGGCTTTATAGTTGGCTGAGTGAGTACCTTGATTGCTTGGTTTTCTAAAATCCTCCCAGAAGTTTTGTGAGGTAGTTATCATTAACCTCATTTTATGAGGAGAATGAGGCTCAGAGATCATGAGGGACTTGCCCCAATCACAGCCTGCAAGTGCAGAAGTCTGACCTTGAACTTGGGTCCTCGGACTCAGTGTCCAGAGCTTGATGACTCCAGATGCATCCCAGGTTGCTGCTGAAGACTGGGATGAGTGGAGAGGGCTATGGACTTGAGGTGACATCCTTAGGCCACTGTATAGGGGCACGTGACTCTTCCCCTTGAGAAGCATGGGGGGGAGTCCCTTGCTGGGCTGGGATCAGAGCCAGGTGGCTCTGACTTGCCTGTTCTTTGTTTTGCAGGAGTATAGGCGTCATCACCTACATCCTGTGAGTATCCCTGATGCTGGGGTCCCAACCTAGCTTGGATCTGGGGAACTGGGAGGAATGAGAGAGGGGTAGGGACAGGCAGCCTGAATTTACTGGTTTTACTCATGAATCATTTACCACGAGCCAGATGTGTTCAATCCACACAGCACACCTGAGGCTCCATGCTTTTAGCTCCATTACATACTTTTGGCCCTAGGGTTGACCTTGGGCCTTGTCTGCATCCCTACCCTGGCCAGGCATCCAACGCTCAGCCTCACCCAGGCTGCATTTCCTGTGAGAAAGTCAGCTTTCACCCAGAAGCCTTGGGACAGCCCTCAGGCTGCCGTGCCTTCCCCATCTCGCTCCTTCTTTCTCTCCCAGTCTCCCCTTCCTTCCCTGGCTCTCACGTGCTCTCGTCTTTCTCCCCAGAGTCTCTTTCCCACCCCTGAAGTATTAAGTTGCTTAAGCAGACATTTCCTGTGTAGCTCCATGTGCAGTGGATCTGTCACTTTCTATCTTTGTGACCTTGGGCAGATACTTAACCTCTGGGCCTGTTTTCCTCATCAGGAAAATAAGAATCACAAACTTCCTGCCACGGTGTGCTGTGTGGGTTAAATAAGCAGACATGTGTGCAAACTTCCTAGCGCCGCTTGGTGTTCATTCCATCAGTGCTTCTCAACCATTTCCCTCCCAACAGCACAGCTGGAACATGCTCTTTTTGTCCCAGAGGGGACATGGGGGCTCCAGTACTCACCAGCTGAGGGGGACCATCTCTCCGCATTCCTGTAAACCAGTTCTCTGACTTCCAGCATCACTTAGACTGGGAGCTCTTTACAATGTGGTGGACCCCTCTGAGCTATGGCAGAGAGTCTCAATCCTGTCTGTACCTTAGACCTTTTAATACCTAACACTGCCCAGGCCCACTGCAGATCTATTACATCATAATTGCCAGGGATGGAGTCTGGCCATCAGTATTTTTTTTTTAAGCCCCAGAAGAACTGGATGGAGAGAAAGAGAACTTGATGCATTGCTCGATGGTTCCAGATTCTGTGTTGGCTCTTAAAACCTTGATTTTTTTTTTTTCAGAACTCGGATTTCCATTTTGAAATATTAAGGAATTCCAGTGTGTACAAAGCATATAGTCTTCTTTTAGCTTGTTTGAATTCTACACAGTTTATTGAGTGCCTGCTCCATGGTGGGCACTGTGCCAGGCACTCAGGATACTGACATGGAGGAGGTCTGCCCTGCGTGCCTGGAGCTCCCTGTGTTGGAGGGAGACACCACACAGCTCAGTTGCACTCAATAGGACCAAGATTATGCTGATGTATGAACATGCCTGTGTGAGGCACAGCTGGGAGAGACACTCGTTTGCTGGGATTGTGGGAGATTTAATGAGAAAGAGATTGAGATTAATATGAACTGGCCTGTACAGAATGAGATTAATTCTCTGGGTGGAAAGGGAGAGAAGGGCTGTCTGCTGAAGAAAGGAACAGTGAGCCTGTTAAAGTGTGGTGAAATGTGCTGAGCATGTGGTAGGGACCAACTTCCAGTGTCTTGCTCAGGAGTTCAAACGTGATCCTATAGAAAATGGGAAGTCACAGGAGGTTCTTTGTGTTCTAACAAAGATAGTAGTAATGGCCACCAATTCCAGAGCTCTCAGTATGGGGCAAGATTGCATGTAACATTGTAAATATATTTATTTTTCACAACCATCATGTGAGCTGAAGAGTTTTCTTCATTTTATGGAGGAGGAAACTGGAGGTCAGAGAGGTTGAGTAACTTACTTAGGTTCACACAGCTAATGAGTGGCAGAGCTGGAATTCAATTTGAGGAATGAAATATCAGCATTTTCCCAGTGCACCTTGCTACCACTATGCTAAGACAGTGGCAGTGGAGATGGGGAGAACCTTTAGGAGATATTTAGTAAATAAAACCAATAAGACTTTTGGGCCAGTTAGATGTGGTGAGGGAATGGATGGAAGAGTCAGAGGTGACCCCTGTGTTCTAACTTGCGTGCATTTGTGAGGTAACATAATTAATCAAGGCAAGGAGCTCATGGAGGGAGGTTAGGGCACAGTGACAATGGCACATCTAAGGAGAGGAACCCCATAAGCTGGGATATGAGTCAGGAAACAGTAGATTTGGGAGTCACTATTTGAATGACACCTTCTTTTTTAAAATATTTATTTTGAGAGAGAGAAAGAGAGAGAGAATCCCAAGCGGGGCTCAATCTCATGAATCATGAAGTCATGACCTGAGCTGAAATCAAGAGTCAGATGCTCAACCTCATGAATCATGAGATCATGACCTGAGCTGAAATCAAGAGTCAGAATCAAGAGTCAAGGCACCCCTGAATGATACCTCTTGACAAACCCTGCAGGGGAACCTTACACACTCTTCTAGTCCCTACTGGTCCATGTATTTCCACATCTCTCAGACTCTGCTCAAGTTGCTCCCTTAGCCTAGAACACCTTCCGTCTCCTCCTCTACTGACAACCTCTTCATTCTTCAGGACACAACTGATACAAATGTCAGTTCTCCCATGAAGCCTGCACTTGGATGTCCCCTCTGTCCTGTGCCCCCCTAGTCCTTTGTCTGGTCTTCCATTGTATTCTGCTTTGTTCTCTTTGGGATTATGAAGAGTCATGTCTCTGTTTCTTCCCCTGCTTTTTCGAGTTCCTTGAAGACACAGTTTCAGTCAAGAACTTAGTAGAAGCTCTGTAAGTGTCTTGAATCGGACTCAGTTTGTTGAAAAGGCTGCTGACTGGCTGCCCAGAGTGGGCAGGCGGTGTTGCTGGGAGCCTCCGCATCCCCATGCAATAGTATGAGTCAGGGTTCCCTGACTGTATCACCTCCACCTCCATCTACTTTCCTATAGTCACGTGTTCCCTCTCTGTGTGCTCAGCCTAAGTGGAGCATCCCCTTTCCTGGGAGACACAAAGCAGGAAACGCTAGCAAATATCACAGCAGTGAGTTACGACTTTGATGAAGAATTCTTCAGCCAGACCAGCGAGCTAGCCAAGGACTTCATCCGGAAGCTTCTGGTGAAAGAGACCCGGTAAGGTGACAGAGAAAGGCACGGGCTTCTCAAGTACTGACCATCTCCTGTCCCCTCCCCCAAAGATGTGCTAGTCCATTCCTTCTTTGCCACAGGCTGCCATCCGCACCATTGTGGTCTAATCTGGGCAGGTGCTGAGAAGTGTGGATTAGCTGAGACTTGGCATTCATCTTGTTTGCTCAAGTCTTTCTGCTTTCTTTCCTGCCCCAATACAAATAACTCTGTGTGTGTGTGTGTGTGTGTGTGTGTGTGTGTGTTTGGAAGTCAGCCTAGGTTTCTCTAGGACACATTATCTTTTACAGTCTTTGAAAAGGAAAGTGGCAGAGTTTCCAAGCCATTTCAAGTGGGTGTTGGGGTGGAGGCAGACTCAGAGGGGTCAGTAAGTGGGAGAATAGGAGACCTGTTGATCCTACCCCTCCTTAGGGCCCAGGGTGAGCCCTGTGGCTGAAGAGTCAAAGTAGGAGATAGGCAGGAAATTGTAAGGTGCCTGGTGCCAGAGCATGGACTAAATGGGGCAGGAGTGAGATCCACAGATTCTAGAAGGTCATGTCCTCTTGGTCCCACAGACTTCAGAGAGAGTGCAGGGGCCTGGTTTCCCCATCTAAGGGCGGTGCTAGGTCAGATCATAGTACCTGAGCAGGGAAGGGCAGAGAAGGGATCTGGGAGGCAAATAGAAAAACATAGGCCAAAGGTTTAGCTGTGGAGAGCTAAAGCTCACAAGAACACTTATGACTTCCTAGAGTGTGGTGTTAAGCCCTTCAAGTTTGGGACCAGAGATGAGGGTTTATGTCATAATATCATTCTACTGAGGGGTCCGCCTGGACCATTTTCTCTGGGATGCAGGGAATTCAGCCCATTCCCCAGCCATCTCTGCATCCCCCCCCCCCCCATTATTCTGGTTTGATAGAAGTGGTCAAAGAATGTCAAAATGCAGGTCTGACAAGAGTAAGAATGGAGACTGTCACTCTCAGCTTCTGTATTCATGGATTGTCATTGTTTTCTGATCCTCATTGCAGGAAACGGCTCACAATTGAAGAGGCTCTCAGACACCCCTGGATCACGGTAAGGGCATGGTGTTGCGTTCCAGTGAGCGGGCAGGTCCCTGGTCTGCTGCCAGGGCCAGGAGGGGTGGCCAGATGCAGGCAGCCCATGGAAAGGCCTTTGCTAGAAACATCCACCCTGGGGCACAGATGAAATCCAGTTGGGGGGTGCCAACTGATCTGGGTTTGTTCAAATAGGTTTATAGGTTTACATTTATATTTCATGGGCTCAGGTGATTTATGAAATGGAGCCCTCACAAACCTCAGTTGAAACCCTTTTCCTTTGGGGCCATCATAAAAAGTGTTCTTTGTCAGAGGGCATGTTGCTGTCATTCTCAAAGCAGTAATCAGGGCTCCCAAGTTGTAGATAGAAATCGATGACAATTAAAAATGTCAACTTTGTAACCAAGGCTCCTTCTTTCTGACTTTCGGGGCTCTGAATAAAGGATGACACTCCAACCAGTCAGCCAGCTTCTTTAGGCACCTTGAGACCTCAGGGAATCGGGCTCAGAGATGGAAGCCTGGTACGGAGGAGAGATGGCCACTCTCTGGGCGATGCTGTTCCCTCTGGGGAGGTGGGGGGTACAGAGGGACTCTAGCCTGGCCTACTTGGTAATTGGGCTCCCAGCTACTGGTTTGTGGAGGGTCTTGCTCACAGTACAGTAAAGTGCTAGTTAAAGGCACTATGGCCAGGGGTGTCTGACTGCCTCACTTTGTAGAGCATGCAAATCTTGATCTTGGGGTTGGGAGTTCAAGCCCCAGTTGGGGCATAGAGATTACTTAAATTAAAAAAAAAAAAAAGGCACTTTGGTGGGGTGGAAATCAGGAGACCAGGATTCTGGCCCTACTTCTGCTGATTGATGAGATGTGCGCTCCTAGAGCATCACCAGATTTCCCATTCACCTGGAGGAAATCACCTGGATTGTTAAATGAGAGGCCTAGCCAGCTTGATCTGAGCATGCAGATCAGCACAGGTAGGGCTATGGAGGATGGAGACCAGGGAGGGCTGGAGTGCTCGGGAGAAGGTCAGGTTCATCTGCTTGTTAAAGGGCCCTCTAGGTTTTGAGTGGGCCCAGAGCACAGAGCTAGGCAGCTTCTCGGGCTTAGCATGCTTAGTATTGCTGAGGCCCAGGATGCCACCTGGTCCTGAAGGAGAGAGGTCTCTCAGCCTCCCTCTGTCAGCCATGGCCTTGTCTGCTCCTGCCGTGGAGTGGATGCCTGCAGAGTCCTGGCTATAGTCTGCTTGTCTATGTGAGCACCTCTAAATGCTATGTGTGTGGAGACCTTCTCTAATGGCCATGGACCACCCTGCCCTGAAGTGAGCATGGAGGCCGCACCCCCGTACTCTTCAGTCTTTTTTATCATCTGTGGGGATGCTCATCCCACCATGGTCCTCCCCTTGGCCTGATGCATGCAGTGAATGCCTAAGAGGCTGCTTGTGTGCCTTCTTCCTGCACCTTGAACTGCGCTTTGGATTTGGCATCAACTTAATTCTGGCTGTTCTGTCTAAACACCCACCAGTCCAAAGGAGAAGTCAGAGCCCCGGAACAGCAGAAGACAGAGCCTGCCCAGCTGAAGACCAAGCGCCTAAGAGAATACACCCTCAAATGCCACTCAAGCATGCCTCCCAATAACACCTATGTCAACTTTGAGCGTTTTGCCCGTGTAGTAGAGGACGTGGCTCAGGTGGACCAGGGATGCCGTGCCCTGGCAGGGACCCATGACACCATCCAGGACGACGTGGAGGCTCTGGTCTCCATATACAATGAGAAGGAAGCTTGGTACCGGGAGGAGAGTGAGAGCGCCCGGCACGACCTCTCCCAGCTCAAGTATGAGTTCCGCAAAGTGGAGTCCTTGAAGAAGCTCCTACGAGAAGACATCCAGGCCACAGGGTCCAGCCTCGGAAGCATGGCCAGGAAATTGGACCATCTGCAGGCACAGTTTGAAGCTTTAAGGCAGGAGCTCTCAGCAGACCTACAGTGGATCCAGGAACTGGTGGGCAGTTTCCAGCTGGAGAGTAAGAACACAGATGGCCTGGGCTCCGTGTTCTGCAGGGACACCAGGGAGTCCCTAGTGGAGCAGCTCGACAGATCATGCAGCAAGGAAGTCTTGGCTGGCTTGAAACTCTGAGCACCAGAATCTAGTCAGTAATGCATCCTGGATGATTTGCAGAAGCGTGTTCCCAAGTGCCCTGCCAGAGCATCAGCTAGAATTATCCTTAGGGTGTGTGTATGTAGCATAGCCCTCCACCCCCTTCACAGAATCCAGAATCAGGAAGGCGCTAGCTAGTTACTCATTCTGCACCTCCTCTCACCAACCTGGTTTTCTGGGAGGTGGCTGGTGGAGCAGCCAAGCTATTAAAACAATTGAGAATGAGTACCTCTCAGCCTACCCTTTTCCAGAGGGAGGATGGCTGGCCCCGGGGAGATGCTTGTAATTGATCTGTGATAATGGATTTCTTCACATCTCACCTCCCACCTATATGTCTTAATAAATTGCAGATCTTGGGTAATCTTTGAGCTAAGTAGGGATAACAATAAACCAGTTTGGTGCTTTCCTGCTGCAGAAGGAGGAATTTAAAATGCACAGAAAAATATTACCTTCCATTTGCACTGACTTTTCACTTACCAAGCACTGTCTTTGATCTTTAAAAGAACTCCTTGAGCAGAAAGGTGGATGGTATTATTCTTGTTGTTGCTATTATTTCCATGTAACTGATGAGGAAATTGACTCTGAGAGGAAAAATGACTTACCCAAGGTCTTTCATAGCTAGCTGATGCAGATGAGACAGAAACCTAGGATGCCCGACCCTCATAAGAGGTATATGGAGAAATAGTGAGACTTTGCTATAAATATCCACCTTAACATTACAGTTCAGCTCCAGAGGAAACGTTAGTAGCTTCATGTATTTATTTCATGTATTCTGACAGGTATAGGTGGAATGTCTCATACCTTTAAACGATTGTCCCAAGAAACAGGTCCTAGAAGATGCAGTTCTCTGTTCCCATCCAGCCCTGTCCCTGGCTGATTTTCAGCAGGTTGGAAGCGGCAGTATCTCCCCCTTCTCCACTTTTCCCCCTTCTGACTGAGGGCCCCAGCCTTGTGTTAGAAATGAAGACAAAAAAGGACTCAACAAGAATATCCCTTTTCTTATGTGCTAGGGCATAGCCCTGAAAGGGCTGAGAAATTCCAGAGCGTTTAAGACTGGAAAGCACAGGCTCAGTGGTCCCTTCTTGACTCCAGGCTTCAAGCACACCTTCTTGAGGACTGTATTATGTCCTCTCCTTTTTCCTAAAGGAGGGACATCAGCCAGCTCATATGGACAGAGTGTAGGCCCAGCACTGTGCTAGAAGCTTGGGGGTGAGGGACCAGATTGTATCATTTCAAAGTTACTACACAGACTCACAGAACACCCTTGTCAGATAGGCAGGGTAAGTGTTATTCCCAATTTGGAATTGAGGAAACAGAGAGGATGTGATTTGCCCAAGGTCACTGTAGTGGCAAAAGTGGAGGCCTTCTGATGATACGTCTGTTGCTCTTTCTGCTTCCCCTAACTGCTCCAGGCTCCGGGAGTTTACTCTTTAATTATGGGGCAGAGACACCCAGATTCATCCATATATCCATTGACAAATGTTTATTGAGCACCTGCCAGGCACTCAGCCTGGCACAGGGGATACACTATTGAGTGAAAACAGGCTCCTTTCCTGCCTTCATTGAGTTGACAGTCAGGTAAAGGATTCCAGCATTAAACAAGAACATTCTACAGATGTAGGGCTGCAGGTGGGATACACGCTATGAAAGAGAAGGATGTAGTGCTGCACAAGCATGCTATGGGGGTTTGATCTAGTCAGGGAAGGCCTCCCTGAGGTGGTGATGCTGGAGGTGAGGTCAGCTAAGCAAACCAGGGAGAAAGAAGTGTTCCTGACAGAGCTGTCATGCCAGGGCTCTGTGGTAGAGAGGGCATGGGAAGCTGAAATTGCACAGACAGAAAGCTGGAGGGCAGAGGATAAGGTGTGTATATGGTGTAGATGTGACTGGAGAGGATGCACGACCATTGGTACTTTGCCATATCAAAGAGCTCTGCCTTTATCCCAAGAGTCATAGGGAACCATGATGGGTGCTGGGCTAGTCAACAGCCTGATGTGCTGGGCAAGGGAGGGGATGTGCAGAGAGCAGCACAGATGGCAAGTGGTTTAGGAGGAGACATGAGATTTTGACCCCATGCAGCCATTTTTTCAGAACCCTACCTCCTTTTCCATTATTATGCCAGATCATTTCAAATATTGCATATAACATTGGTTACAGAAACTTTTTTCATCAAATATAAGAGACCATATTTCCATCAAATATAAGATGAGTTGTTATTTTATATACCAAAAATAAGAAAGAACAAAGCCAAGTGCAAGAGGAGACCGCTTCCCCTCTCCTCAAAGCTGGGACGCCCTCACTGAGAGGGTAAATGAGAAATAAAGCCACCATGCAAAAAGGGAAGGCAAGGAAACCTGAGTCTTTCACCCTTCATGCTAGATGGAGGGATGGAAAATCCCCCCCGACAAGAGGGGCCCCACGCGTGTGGAATTCACACAGGTTTGCTTTCTGAATTTGCACAATCAGTGTGATCCAAAGGAACTTCAATTAGAGAATCTAATGTCATACAGTCTGAGGCTGAATGGCCCCCAATGTCTGGCAGAAGCGGTGTGGTCATCTTCTGAAACACCTGCCTTTGTTTCAGACTGACAGTAATGGCAAAATGCCATTGATGGGAAAGAAGTCCTGATTTCAGAGATCCAAAACTGTGTATCTTGGGATCAATGGAAGATAGCAAAGCCCTTTTTCCTGTGCCTTGCCTGGGAGACTGGGTATAAGTGGCCTGTCTACAGTCTCTCCAAGAACTTACTTGCCCTGTCATGAGTTGTGATGTACTTGTTTGACATGAAGACACTGCAGATATTAAAGGTCCCTTTGGCTATGTCAGTAGACCTTGACCTCATATAGCCAGATTTCCTCAGGAAAGGAAGCCCCCAATTGAATAACTCAGGTTAAACTTTATTGTGAAAGTCCAAATAAAATGCACTTAAAGGAGTAAGATGTTGAGGATGATTTGATTTGGAGAGACCGGAAACAGAGAGGGGAAGGTAGTTAGTTGAGAATCGTGGCATGAGTCACTCACTGTTTGTACTGAGAAGTGGACCATCAGACACCTTCACTTTACAGCATTTGACAGGACAGGGCCTGCCTGAAGTCACCCAGCTGGTCATCCCCAAAGCTGGAGTCAGAACCATAAGTGATTCTCCTCACAGTAGTGGACTCATCTTCTCTGTGATCATATCTAGTCATTACTAACTATTTATTATTTAGGTGTTTTATAAGCAGACCCTTTTCTGTACTAAGAGTTTCCAAAGACAAATCGAAATAAACTAAGAAGCGCTCCCAAGTCTTTCAGGGAAGGTGGAGGAGGAGACCATGACCTTCCTCTGTCCCCTGGCCAGTCCAACTCTCCCTACCCTTTGGCATCAGAACCTGATACTGAGGGGGAGCCCAAGGAGGCCTGTGGAATGTCAGAGAATCCACCTGACTCCCCACCACATGTTCACAGCTGGCATTTTAACAGTGGAGTCAAGGGTAGGGTGGGGCTGACAGTGGCCTGAGGGGGTGTCAAGAGGGGAATGTTTCACTGGGACCTAGAGGGAGGAAGGACTGGGGTGGGGTGGGGGTGGGGGGGCTGCTGCTAGGCCCATCTGCCATAAAGGAGGAGTTTTCATTTACCAGGCAGTGAGAGGTTGGCCTCTGTGCTCTGTGCAAATGCCACCCTGGGCTGTTGGGGAGGGCAGGCTGAGTGTGTGACATCTTCCTGATCATGGGTTCCCAAGGAAGCTGGAGAGTCGGCACCTTGGGAAGGCAGCAGCCTGTCCATGCTCTGAGCCGAATGGCACATGGTAACTCAGCTTTGTGTTAGGAAAAGGTGTGGTAACAGGTGATTCTGCAGCTGTAGGAGGCTGGCAGAGAAGGGATGGGGCGGAGTAATAATGACAACAGAAGCCAGTCTCCCCCATGAGTCCTCTCCTCACATCACCCACCCTTCCCTAGAGGTGATTATGAAGACGGTGGCTTCCCACCTCATTCCGTCATGCAGCAGTCGGCCTATGTGGGAGGTAGCTGTGTGCTCTGCACCCACCCCCACTGCCAGCCTCTGTAAATGTCTGTGGGACTGAATGGCCTTTTCTCCTTTGTCTGTGAAACTCTTGGGTTGTGGAGAAGATTCTTTGCTCTGTAGAGGAAGACCCAGCAGTGGGTACATTTGAGGAGCAGAAGGGGCCAGTTCATTTGAACAGTCACTGATTGTGCTCTGGCTCTGAAGGGAGGTGACAGATAAGGACAAGACAGCCCCTGAATAAAAGACTCAGTGTCTGGAACAGTTGGGGACCCCAATTGGGAGATGGGAAAGGCCATGAGAAGTGGTAAAATAGAGGTACCTAGTATTCCAGAAGACGGGAGAGAGATGAATTCTGACTGAGAAAGAGTAAGAGGGGCATCAGGGGGCAGAAACGTTCTCAGGGAAGGTCCCCCCTCCAACATCTCCTTCCCAAGCCATAGCCTGTGGAGAAGGTGCCACGTAGAATTTGGGGGGGGGGGTGGGGATGAGCATGAGCATGAGCACAGATTGGGATCAGGAGCCAGGAACTATTAAGTGGAGGTAAAGAGGAGATTTATAGAGACTTAACAGAGGGCAAGTTTTTGTTTCAAATTTTTTGTTATGGGAGATTCTCATCAGTATCCAGAATGTTACAGTGAGTTCCCTGTGCCTGTTACACAGCTTTGACAGTGAGCGAGTCATGGCCAGTCCTCTCCCATTCATCTGCACCACGGCTTTTTCCGGAGTATTTTAAAGCAAACTTTGGACTTACTTAACTTAAATTCCTCAGTATGAATTTCTAAGCACTTTCTTTTTAATATTACTTCTGTGCCATTATCAAGCCTGACAGAAACCAAGAATAATTCCTTAATATCATGTGGATACACATTCCATACTCCCATGTCCCCACTTTTCGCAAGGATGTCCTGTTGTAGTTTGTTCAAATCACGATCTAAACATAGTCCACACTTGGCATTTATTTGGTGGTTACATCTCTCAGGTCTCCTGTCTCCTGTAACCGTCCAGGAGGGAGAGCTTTTGAAGCTTTTCCTGGGGACAAAAAATTTCTCAGAAAACTGAAGGTCCTGGGGCACCTGGGTGGCTCAGTTGGTTAAGCAGTCGGCTCAGATTATGATTTCATAGTTTGTGGTTTCGAGCCCTATACTGGGCTCTGTGCTGACAGCTTTGGATCCTGGAGCCTGCTTTGGATTCTGTCTCCCTCTCTCTCTGCCCCTTCCCTGCTTATGCTCTGTCTCTCTGTCTCTCAAAAGTAAATAAACGTTAAAAAAAAAAGAAAGAAAGAAAGAAAGAAAAGAAAAAAAACTGAAGGTCCTGGAAAGAGGATTAAAAGGGCTGAGACCTAACTAAGAAAAGTGAGACCAGGCCGGGCAAGGAAAGGGGCATTTCCACGTGTTTCCATTGGCTTCTTCTAGGCATGAAACAACTGGCAGGGACACAGCCTTTCTATAGCTCTCCCCACCCATATATAAGGAACTTGACACTCAGGCCCCCTTCAGCCTCACATGTTCCTTTCCTGGGAAAACTGGGAAGTGAGGCCAGCAGGGCCCAGGCTCTAGCCAGCAAAAGGGGAAGTTGGAGATGCAAACTATGGAAAGACTCCATTAAGGGAGATTGGTGGGGGAGGCAGAGTGGCAGACTGAGGCAGCAGAGGGGTGTGGGTACTCAGGTGTCCCTGGCTTCCAGTGGAGGACGGGGCTGGAGAAATGGCACAGTTGGAGGTTTGAGAAGTGGCGATCTGTTTGCAGTTTTCTAGAGGAGGCCTGGTATTGAGAGAAAAGCTGGAGTGCCTCTTCTGTAAAGCCAGGCTTCCTTTTTTATGCCCAGGGGAATGGCTGTTGTTCCATCTCCCTGCTCTGTGGACGTGGGTGTTGACCTGGCACACCCCTCGTACTGTTTCAAAGCCGTTTGCATCTCCGTAAACAAAACCTGCCTCAGTCGGTGTTCTGTCTTCTTGACTCGCTTCCCAACATTTTTCTGAGAGACTAAACATGCTCCTAGGAGCCTGGTCAGAATCGCCCATACTCTCTGCCCAAAGGACAACAGGCTTAGAAGGTGGGCACTGTCTGTTTGCAGAGAGGGCCGGGCCAGGAGGAGGCAGAACCCAGTCCCACCCTACTGACACCCCTAATTTAATCAATGGTGTTGCTGCCACTTTCCTTCTGGGAACAGATTTCACTGCAGAATTTATGTCTCTGACTTTCAAGGATTAGATGGTATCAGCATTTGCTTGAGCCTCTTAGCAACCAAAGAGGCCCATTGATTAGGAAAGGCCAGCCTGATGGATTTATAGCCTGGGTGGCCTCCTTCTCAGAGTTCATGCTGCTTTGTGTAGCACATAGAGCCCTAGAGGTAATTGCATCACTTCCCCTTAATGGCCTCTGGGAATGATCCCCCCTCATATTTTAGTTGGGCCTCGTTGCTCCACTGCTGGACTAGTTAGAAGGTAGGATTCTTATTAATGGGATTCCTCTAACTGCATGTTGACTTTCCGCCCATGGGGTTCAGGCATCTCTCTTCTGCAAGAGTGTTAATCAGTAAGTGGATAAAAAGAGGTCCGTACTCTTCTAGAGTCTACCGATCCCACCTCATCAAACTCCAAGCAAAGTGCAAGTGTCCCCTGCAAGGGTTAGGCTCAAAAGTGAATCA